GGAAGGAAGGAAGGAAGGAAGGAAGGAAGGAAGGAAGGAAGGAAGGAAAAGCAATAGCAGCTGCATCTGGTTTATGGCAAATTCCCTTTTCCTAGTAAGAACCACTCGAAGCACCTGTCCTGCTCTGAAGCTGAAGAAACCAACCCCCCCGTAGTTGCCCCTACCCTCACTTTTACCTGACCCACTTTCCCCCTGGGCCCTGCCAAACTCATTGTCTTTCTCCAGCACTCACTAAATATCAGCAACCAGGCTTCCCAACAACTAATGGGAAAAATTCCGCATGTGACAAGGAACAAAAGGAAGGTCACCTAACTCCAAACAGTGGGGTAATAATCAGGCAGCAATTAGATTAATTTAGAATGGTAGGTAACGAACTTTAAAAGGAACACCTAGTTTTCTGGGGTTTTTTTCCTCTTGCTATGTCAAAAGTTTGGTGGTACTTGGCATCATGGATGGGCTCTGCTTCAGGCAGGTAACTGAACACAGAGTGCTTCAGATGTGCAAACTATGCCACCAGTAACTCCAAACATGTCTAAATCAATGTTAAGTCTTTAGCAGACTAGGCAGGCCTGCTATGGAATAGCTGCATATAGTGTTATTTTGGAGCTCCTACCCAAACCCACTCCATTTAGCAAGCAGAAGAAAGTTAAAAGTAATAAAATAATTTGCTGATGCAAATAGTCAAGATAGATCTGTGAGAACAAATATAAGCACAAAGGGCTCTAGCTTCACAAACACCCAAGACTAAAAGGGTTTCTCTTGCTCCCACTGCAAACCCAATCTATCTCTCCCACAAAACTCCAACCGCTGGGTGAGGAGCCCCATTCAGTTCCATACTGGGGCTCCCTTACGTATGAACAGATACAGATCCCACAGATGAACTCACAGTTAACCAGGACTTCACGTAACAATTGCTGATGCCCAAAATCTCCCATTTCAGGTACTAAAAAATCATAAAACCAAAATACCAAGCTGACTCCACCTTCAGATGTAAAATTTTAAGAGACAAGTTTTGATACACATTAGTGTATCAGATTCTATCAGTGTGGAACCGAGGAATATGCTATTTTTTCACAGTTTTCAGTTCACACTCCAAAGAGAAACATACAAAAGAGAAACATCAGGATTTACATTTTTTCAAATTTTTATTCAACAACCTGCTTGCAGAAAATGAATAAACAAAAGCTTACATTAAATACTGTACAAAATATTAAAGTTGTAGAGGAGCTAGTCCCCAGGTATGCTCACTTTTTGTATCCTCAGCCATCTGCACTGCAGCTCCCAGAACAAAACAAGATCTGAAGGTTTTCCTGGCTGCAACTAATTATGACACATGAGAAGTGCAGCCCTTGACAGGCTCCTGCTCAGTAGAATTTGGCAAAACAAAAGCAGTCAGATGTTCACACTGCAGTAAAGAACCCCTGACGTTTACAAATGAAAAACAATCAAGTATAATAAATGCATTTCTCTTAAAAAAACAGATGAGCCCACAATCCTGAGGCACACTTTCCAGAAGACAAGTAAAACATGTTTTTCTGCTATGCAAATGGGCTTTGTGGGAAATGCTCTGCACTGATGACCTGTAGGAAATTACATTTCTCAAACCCTTCAGGAAAGAAGTGTACCATAGGAAGTTTCAACCACAATCACTGAGTAGAAGTCTTCAGATTCAGCAGCTTCAGACCAGAACCATGAACAGCCATCAAGCTCCTTTACAGTCACTACTGCTATTTTTAGTACAGTTGTTAGGAGGGCTTGAATTCCTTCTCTCTCCAATCAATGTTTTTATAAGGTGTTGTATAAGTTTATGGGACATTTTTAGAGCTATCAAAGGCCAACTTAAGGAGGAGGATCTTCTCCTCTAATAGCTTTGTACTTTGCCATATCTTCTGGGAACACCTTTGTCAGTTCTTGAATTAACAGGCTTTTAAATTTCTGGAAAGAGAAAAAAAAATGTATATATGATCTGGACAATTTATTTAGATTTCATCAAGCAGTGTTACCCGATGATCAGAAATGTCTGTACTCAACACATCTCTCAGTGAACTGAAGTACCCAAAAAATCCCAAAACCACACAAAGAAAGTTATATTTACAAAATCCACAGAAAGTGCCCAAGCAAAATCCACATTTTGCAGAATGCACCAAGCAAACCAAACTGTCCTTGAATTCTCAGAAATTCACTTGCATCTTCTCCTAAGAAATACAAAGCAGTTGGACCTCTCTAGTAAACCCTGGTGCACCAATATCTGCCTGACCTTATAAAGGAAAGATGATTAAGGACATGTCCTCTTGATTTGATATGGAATCCACTCCACCTTCAAAAAGCAACTCACACCTGCCTTAGAAGAACACAATTTCACAAGCACAGACAAAATAAAGAGAAGCTCAGGAATTATCTCCACATGTCTATATTCTGGAGTACAACTTGTTATCCTCCACACTAAGTTCAGCCAAACAAAGAACATTCTCAGAACTCACTAAAATTCGCTTTCTGATTGTGTTTTTCTGCAGTAGTTCCAGGAGTTAAACAGTATCACAGAATGCTTAGGTTCATACTAAATGAAAATACAAGTTCAGAAACTCATAAACACTGCGATGCATTTTTGCTAATTTTATAAAGATTAATAGATGATTACAGAGCATATTTGATGTTTTAACCCTCTACTATCCATTCAAGACTGAAAAAACACCCCTTTTGTTTTGCTTATTTCTTATAAGTTTGCACACAACAAAACTGGACACCTGTAAAAAAAAACAAGTAAAATATCTCTACTGCTACACATAGCTTTAACCAATATAAAACCACAGTGAAAGCAGCATCCCCAACTATGGATGCTAACTATGAGATGCTAACTAAGCAGGGAGCACAGTGCCTATGGAATAGCAGGCTGCATAACTTTCTCAGTCTCACCTGAGAAAGTGGCCTGGAAAATCATAAGGAAAAATTAAAACAATCCTCAGAGATAAAAGACAGCCTCGCAGGTGCTGTTTGTCTGTTCCTTGTTTTCTTGCAAGAGAAGGTCAAGGGGTGGTGTACACCACTGACCAATGATAGTGACGTGTTAGTTTACTAACCAATAAGAGTTTTACTTTTCTGTACTTTCACATATTGGTCTATAAAAGAAGATCTGAGGTAATAAACCTTAAGAGAAAGAAAAGAGAAAGAACTCTCCTGTTCAACTCACAAGAGAGTCTGTGTCATTCTTCTCGCCGTTCCCAATAGAGCGACACCCAACTACAGAATGAACTACAGGTTTCCTTTCCTAAACAGGCTATACCAGCATGAATTAAGATACAGTGATGGAGCAACTTCTAAGACAAATCACATAATAACAGAAGTTAATAACTGCACAAGTGAAAAATACCCACATATTTACAGAAAAGTAAAAACTTATCAAATACATTATTGCATTATATTTCCATTAATTCTGGTTTACCTTCATAGTGTCAATTTTTCCTTTCACTTGCTCATTTTTAGCCAAAGCTCGCTCCAGACACTCTTTAGTGTAAAGCTGAGGGTTGCGGCCTTGATCTATATATCTGAAAATAAAAAAAACTCTACTAAATTATCATATTCCTACTAGGATGCTCTCCAAGGTATGGAATTACTCATCTTGCTGTCTTTTTCTTTCTACTATTATCTAAAATGTGCACTTTAAAAACCACCACAGTTAAACTCAGCCGTTTTCAAAAGGCAGCTCAAGGACCAGGCCATGGCCAGCAAACCTGTTTCCAGAAAGCCTGGAGAGCTTTGAACACAGTATTAAAAGCACACAAATATCTCCCTCCCTCTCCCTCTCCCTCTCTCCCTCCCTCCCTCCCTCTCTCCCTCTCTCCCTCTCTCTCTCTCTCAGCTTCTCACAGGCAATAAGCACAGACAATCAAATGAAGATGGTCCTTTCCCAAGCAACTGAAAGGGCACTAACCAGGAAGTGGCCTAGTTAGGACATGGTGAGCATTAAGCACACCAGAATATGGCACCCAGCAAATCTAGGACAAGGAGGAGCTGCACATACCACAGTAAAGAGTAAAAAATTAACACTACTGTTATCTATGTTAATATGTTAATATTACTGTTACAATACTGTTGTTATTATAGCAAACCTATGTGATATTTTGTTCTGCAATACAATTCCTGGCAAAGGGAAACTCTCTAGGGAGAACATTTAAGAGTCATCAAAAATTTACAGCTGGTGTAAGAGCCCAATGAAAAAAGCTGTGAACAGCCACTAACACACTGGAGTACAGCAAACCAGTAACATCTGGACTTAGAAGAAACACTAGTGAATTAACTTGTAAGCTATATCACAAAAGCTCTCTAGCATAGCATCTCTCTATGTTCATTTTTCTTTCAATGTTCCAATTCTCTGCCAGACTACCACTCCTGAAACTAAACACCTGAGTACTGACTTACTTTATTTTCACTTGCAACTTTAAATGCTGAACCTAATGTAGTGTAGAAGTCAATTTTTAAAAATGAAAGCTGGCTTACTAAATGGGTGTCCCTGCCCATGCTAGGGGTGATAAAACCAGACGTTCTTGAAG